TCTCACGTATAACATCTTTGAATTACAATGCTCAAACTGGTCTGATCTCAGTATTGGTATAGCTGCTTGCTCATATTATTGTATTTTAATAAAATTTAGACTTTTAACATTATTATCAATCTGTTACAAATCTAGAATTATTTTATGCGAATAGAGAAGGCATTTGACTTCTCAAAGCAGGACCAGCAGTTCAGATAATACTGATTCGAACGCAGTAAGATATTTCGATGATTTTTCTCTTAGGAAAATAAACAAATCGCCAAATCTCGCCTTTTTCATATTTGATTCTGCAATAAATTGTAATAGATAAGTAATAATATACCGAGAAAAGAGTAAATCATTAATAATTTTAATTTATTTGTGTTTTATAATATGGAGTCGCAAGTCGAATATACCCTGGTTGTTATAACTCATTTTTTAATCCAGACATGCACCAGATTTTCTATATCCTGAACTTTTAACTTTAAATATTTATTAACAATAGCTACTAAGTTATTTAAAATGATATTAATAAAATAACTTAGATTGTTCTTCGTTAACTATCACTTCATACTATGTAAGTTAGTTGGAAATACCTAAATGCCCCCACCTCCCTTTTCCGGTGGTTTATAAAGCTCAAAATGACGTTTCGAAACTCATGGTAGTCACAGCACATTATGTAGCTTTGTGTTCAATAACTATCTAAATAGATAACCTACACATTAAAACCCACTTTTCCCGTGATGGCAAAGCTAAAAAAGTAGTTTGCTGCTTTTATTCTGCTATCTTGGTACCATAAGTACAATTCTTCCATACAAACCTATTTACGACCAAATTTAAAACCAGCTTTTAGCATTTAAAAATGCGTAGCCAGTTCATCTAGGCGCTAATCAGAATTTGGTCAAGAAATGAAGAAGGTTTAATTTGTTTTGCTTTGTTTTAAATTTCACACAAAGCTACAGGAGGGCTATCTGCGCTAGCCGTCCCTAATTTAGTAGTGAAAGACTACAGGGAAGGCATCTAGTCATCACCACCCACCGCCAATTCTTGGGCTACTCCTTTACCAATGAATAGTGGGATTGCCCATCACTTTATAACGCCCACACGGCTGAAAGGGCGAGCAGATTTTATGGGAAGGGGATTTGAACCCGTGATCCGCAGATTGCGAGTCGAACACCACTAACCACCTGGCCATGCCAAGCCATAAAGGAGGTGTCATTACAGCAAGAAAAAAAATCTTTTTACGCACTTCTAAGCTTTTCAGAGACTATAGCGAATATAGCGAACAAACATGTAACTGAACGATATCTTCAGGTGATAACACGCATAATTTTCATATGGTATTTGTTACCTGTGATTCTGCAAGATAGATTGGTTTCAGATTCTCTAAAATTGATATCATGATGTTTGATTCTCGTATTATTTTTCAAGAGATAATATTGACAAGGTTGTTTTCTAGTATTGTTGTTACACTATATTACACTAGAAATTTCAGATATTTGAATTATATCTTTAAAATGAAAACATTAAATACACAGTATATGGCAATGAAGAAGAATTTAAATTATTTTAATAGTTTTTCTGTGTTCGTGATATTATACAACTTATGGGTATATACAAAAATATGTGTATATGATTCTTTTACTTTTGTATAGAGAGCAACGAATCCATGACTTGATACACAGAAACCTTTTGGATTTTTTTATCTCTATATTTTGATTCACCTATATAGCTAAAGTATGAAATCCTGTTGCCTTGCCATGCAATTGCAAAAGGAGGGACAAGTTGTAAAGAAAAAAAAACATACAAGTTAGGGGTTCACACGAATATCTGATTCTTCTGGTGTCGTATAAACAGACTTTGTAGTACATGTAATAATTCGATTCACAGAAACCTCTAGTCATTGTATGATACGCATAACTAAGTTTCATAAGTTTTGTCTAACTGGCTTATTGTGTACAGGATACAAAGAATAAACGAAGTAGGGATGGACTGGATGTTGTACACGCCCCCTTGTAAGGTTGTACACCATGTCTATTCCTACCTTGTTTCCTTACTTTTTGGAGCACCCATTCCTACATTTTCATTTGTTTAATTTTTTTTCCCACTTTTACAACTTCAGCTCTTCTATGACTGATTGTTCTCCACTCGCTCCACTCTTAATGTTTCTTCACTTAAAACTCTCAAAACTTCTCAATCTAGACTGAATTTCATCTCGTCTTTTCCTGTCTCACAGCCATTTAACAAAACCAAAAGAACCAAACTAGTGAATAAATTAAGCTTCATCTTAATAGATAAACTTGCCATTATTTCATATACTATTCAATTTTCTAAAGACAACTCCTGCTTTTCCCAATCTTGTCTTTACTTCCTTGTGTGTACCTCCATCAACACTCACTATACTACCAAGATATGTGAAAGTTTCCACATCCTCAGTTACCTCTCCATCTACAATTACCTAATGTAAGTCACTTGTCTTTAACTTCATTGTCTTTCTTACGAGTGTTAATAGCTAAACCAACATTCTGAGCTTCATGTGCCAGTGCTTCAGTCATTCTGGCCATTGTATTTGTGCAATGATATAACAAACATACATCATCAGTAAATTATAAGTCTTTCCTACTTTGTTCTTAAATATATTTAAAACATACAGTAGAAGTTATTTATATATATAACGAACTTGCTCTTTTGTGAGAAATGAATGAAACTGATAGAGTAACCTTAAACACAGTTTTAAATTGAATTATAAAAAAAATAATTAAACTTGGCATCATTTAAGCCAAACGAGTTATAGTTTTAGTTTATATTAAAAAAAGCCTGGTAAGTTGGACTGCTTATAACGCAAAAATGAAAGGGTTCTATACCTGCAGTGTGCATAGCACAGATAGTCCATTGTACAGCTGTGTGCTTAACAAAAAACAAACCAGTGAAACGAAAGAAAACAAAAAAGAATGGCCACCATTTGTTTGTAAAGTATTTCAATTACAAAAGATAACATATATCAAAGCATACTTGATAAAAAAACAACAGATGTTTCAAGTTATTATAATCACAAAATATTGTTGTTGTTTGAAGTTAAACACAAAGCTAAACAATGGGCTATCTGTGATCTGCCCATCACGGGTATCGAAACTTGGTTTCTAGCGTTGTAAGTCCGCAGACATACCGCTGTGCCACTGGGGAGCTCGCAAAATATAGCTGTGAATACGAAACTATATCGGCTTTTATGAGAAAAAAAAAGACATGAAAGTTTGAATTAATGTAATTGAATAATGTTTCACAAATAACATATCTTCGGTTATGAGATCTGTAAGCCACAAGAATTGTCTGTGGAGCTGTTACTGAAATATTTCTTTATGGTATTTTGAATCGGACGTAGTTAACTGGGTTTTAAGTTCTCATCGATAAACCTTCTTGTGATTAATAATGACTTATTAACCTAATATTTTTGGACCTAAATGACCAATTTTGTACATAATTACTCACTACGTAAACCTGAATTTACTAAAATTAGAAAATATTCACATGAAAAGTTTCCAAAATATCGTAGTGTCATCTTCTTTTGAAATTTGTATTTATTTATTTTTTTAACTATTTGCAAGATAATTCTGAAACACAAGAAATGAATTAGCCCATTTTAGAGGAAATCTGCCTTGGGGCGCCAATATTTACTGTTGCCTGCAACATATATATAAAGGGAAGGGTACTTATTATCAAAAGTTTACTATTAATCCGTTCATAAATAATAAGGTGCTTCAAATTTATCTGAGTAAATGTCCTAGAAGAGTTTGTTAGTTTAATCTGTGTCCACTAGGGGATCGTTTGTTCTTGTTTTGTTCGTTTTTGTTGTTAAGCACAAAGCTACACAACGGGCTATCTGTGCTGTGCCCATGACGTGTATCGAAACCCAGTTTTTTGTTGTTTTTTTGCGTTAAAAGCCATCAGAGTTACCATGAGCCACTAAGGGCGACCAGAGGAATCGAACCTTCTAGAAAGGTACATGGAAGTGGATAACATTTACTAAAGCTCACTAATATTCAAGTATCGTTAGAGGGTAACTCTGTGGCAACAATACTCACAGAGACTTATATAGTGTTTAGATCTAAATCTGTTTGTTTCCTTTGAAGTACAAGTTACTTTTTTTGCATTTGCTAAAACAAGATATGATGCACTTGGTAGTTGACAGGTGGCGGCACAGACACAAACTTTAGTATTTGTTACAGTGCTAATACTCTGGTTGTTGTTAAGCGCAAAGCTACATAATGGGCTATCTGTGCTTTGCCCAACAAGAATATAAGTTAGGATCTTATTGTTTTTTGTTGTTGTTTTTCTCTTGCATTAGTCACAGCAAGTCATATGCATTCCAGTGTTTGAAAGAATCGAAAACTTTTTCAATTCCTTTTATCATATAATTTATGCATGATACTGTAAAACAACGTAAATGAAACAACTGCTACAATATATTAGTATTAATAACGTTTTATTTCAAAACTCTGTAGAACTGAATCTATAAGTCTTATGAGTAAAGGGTTATCTGGTCGTTAACAGTGTGGGTGCCCAACTGATCAATCAACGTGTCCTGTTCACCTTAGATTTTAATTTTATTGTGAATTGTTTCATAACATTGTGTACTTCTAGTTAAATCATTTAATGGTGCGCTGAAGAAATATTTTATGGTCTAATGAAATATATTCTTTCCAACGGTTATTTTTACGGTGTTATTATTTATTTATTTTTTTAGTTTAATTATCTGCGCTTGTTGCTCCTCTGGCGAAGGAGAGTCTATCATTCAAAATTGATCTAATCCAGAATATCTTTTGCTATTTTATGAACATAATTTTTTATCGTCTTTCTTTCTATACAACGAATTTAACCTTTTTTGTATTTTCAGATTTCATCACGCTGTTCTTTATTAGTAGCGCTTTTATAGCAGCAGAAGTTACTGTGTTAGAGTTACGCAAGTTAACTCAACTATTCAGACTCAAAACTTCTTCTACTCAAAGATCAAATCAACTATTTACTAAACTCTATGGTCGTGTGCCAGTATGCTTGAGTTCCAAACTCCAGGTCGTGTACCAGTATTCTCGAGTTACAAGCTCCATGTTTGTGTACCAGTATGCTTGAGTTCCAAACAAGAATCTATAGGATCGGCAGCCATGAAACAAGAAAAGGTCGAATCAACGAACACCTAAACTTCAAAAGTGTCTTTTTCACATATGAAGCAAAACACACTCAAAACTGTAACGACAGCCCACCGATCAATCAATGCTTCAAGATATTTCTCAGAGCACATACTAAGAGAAATCTACGTAATCTTGAAAATATCACGATAAAACTAAGAAGACCAAATATCAACAAGGGGGAACAAGCGCTTCCGCTTGTGCCGAAACTATAAATGAACATTTTCATTATCTTTATCCTACTCTTTTCACAAGAGTTTGTTGAAATCGCTATTTCATTATGGCTTAATGTAAACCAAGACTTGTCAAGGCTGTTCATTTCCATTCAAGTAACTATTGGATTATTTTCAACATTGTTTATATTCTAATGTGTTATGAAAAGTTTCATTATAAGCATGTGTTATTGTTATAAATCTCAAGCATTTACCTTTATATTGTTATGACTGTTTTTAGAATGTTTCTGTTTACATTCACAAGTGAGCTTCACAGAATATTAAATAACACAGGATGTTTACATTATGATTGAGCCAGAGTGTTGATATCGTTACTGCTCGTTTTTTACCTATGTAGATACCGTTGTTCTCTACATATTGTTTGTTTTTACAAATTTATGTCGCGTTCACATATCTTAAACAATTACATTTGTTTATTTGTCTTTCTTCATGTTATTCTCAGATCAAAACGGCTAGTTTCCACACCAGTTAATATACTTTATGCTACATATGTAAAGTGTATATTTTTGTAGATGGTTACATTCCCATTGTGTTTTGTGTGTTTCTGATTTGTAACATAATCTAATACCTATTGGGTTTTTTTTATTTACTGTTAAGCTTTTAACTCTCTCTCATCTCTTTTAATTTATGCCTAACGGAAAACGCGAGATCTGAAATTCGTTAATACATTTCCTTAAAACAGTCGCCACTCTTTATGTACTCACATATCACAGTTCAGACTTTACTGATATCATAGTTAACCGTTATGGTCGTCCCACGTTATTTACTTTCCTCAATTTGAACATATCTATTTCACGGCCCAACTAAGAAAACTCAATAATAATTTCATGAAGCAAACTTAAAAACACAAAACACTACCTAGTTTTCTACAGTTCAACAACCAGCGGAACGGTACTCAAAAATATTAGAAGGGCACTCAATAGACCGCATACCTCCGGCACGCAGCGTTGATCATATTCGGCCCTCACAAAATACAAAAATGTGTCCGTATGACCCTCTTTATCAACGGACACGAACCATTTTTGGCAGAACAATGGGGGATAATATTCTACATATGTCCACCTAGTTTCATCAAAATCCGATCATTTTTGACTGAGTTATAGAGCAAAAATGGTATGAAAAATCGATCTCCATGTTAATAGATAGAGATTTTTTTTATTTTTGTGACCTTGACCTTTGACCCTCCAAAAAGTATTCACTTCTAAGTTGGATCATAGAACAAATGTATATCAACTTTCGTCCAAATCCATTCAGTCGTTTTCGAGAAATCATCCTGACAAACACACACAGGGGTGAAAACATAACCTCCGCCACAAAATCTTGGAACTCGAGATCACAACCAAGGAAATATTAAGTGTTACACTAGCGAATAAAATCTCGTAAAACAAGCAGACTTTAAACATGCAAGTTATTAAAACAATATAGCGTATATCTAATAATCCTCATTGTGAAAAACCAGTTTCAATGATTTAACTGGTATTAGATTCAGACAGTTATGCAAACTTCACATTCTAAAAAACAAGCAAGACTATCTAACACTTTCTCCGAACAACCTGGTACTGTCATTCATAATCCAAACTTGAAAATGTATTCATACTGATTTATACTTGGAAACATGCACCAAAACAGTTATTGGAAAAAACCGGCAAATATAGCATAATCTCGAGAAATGGAACATCAAAAGTGATTTAATAAGTAAACGTATATTTTCATATTAACACGTTTTTGTTCAAGCACTGATAAAGCGCAATGACGAAAACGTAGGATGAAATAATAATATATGTTGTTGTTTTTCAATTATCTGAAGAGTAAAAGTCGTTTTATTTTCTAACTTTATTGACGAAAAGATACTAATATCTAATATCAATAATCCAAATAGCAATGAAATGCCCCCCAGTGGCACAGCGGTATGTCTGCGGACTTACAACGCTAGAATCCGGGTTTCGATACCCGTGGTGGGCAGAGCACAGATAGCCCTTGTGTAGCTTTGTGCATAATTAAAAACAAACAAACAAGCAATGAAATTCTAACGTAACATCTGGTGTGATATGAAAGCTACAAGACTACTGGGGAATTATTAATGTCATATGATACAGAAAACATGATTACCAAAGACCAGTGGTCCAGAAGAGAAAATGTCCGTTATTAAAAAAAATATATTTACTTTAAATCATTAATTAATGATACACCTGAAAGCTATAGTACCATTAAGAAATGATTTATGTCTTATAATTAGAAAATATGTCTTACAAAAAAAAATAGTCACGAAAAACAAAATATTTACCCCACCACAAAAGGTTTACTTTAGAGATACTGACTAATGCAACATTTGTAGTAACATTAAAGCTGGCCCGGCATGGCCAGGTGGTTAGGGTACTCGACTCGCAATCTGAGGGTCGCGGGTTCGAATCCCCGTCCTACCAAACATGCTCGCCCTTTCAG